CTGTCTCTTATACACAAAAAATTTAGTGGCACTTGTTCCTCTAAGACTGCAAGGTGCATTGCTAGTTTCTCAAAAAACATGAAAATGTTTGTATTGGAGATGAATTTCTTATAAAAATATTGTAGTTCTTGATAAGATAATCTCTTTTATTAAAGTGTTCCATGGTTTTAGGTGGTGGTCGCTTAATCGAGCAGATACGATACAGCAATTGCAAGACATCTGTCTACAAGTGTTTTAGATGATTGTACTTACTATACCACAACCCAAGGTGTCTGCCAAAAATGGATAGTGCTTAACAATCTGAAAACAAAAGATGTGTATAAGAGACAGCTCCAGGGTTTTAGCATTGTGAACCAGCCGCCACACTGCTGCCAGCCTTTGATCGCGAGTCCGCAATACACGAACGAACGTATAAGACGTGATTCTTTTCTGTGCTGCATATAACTGTTGAAACACTTTCAGAAGCGCCATGAGCGTCATATTTGGCGGATAATAAATATTCTATTCTATTCAAACAGATAAATTACAAACGCAAAGGATGGGTATGATTTAAACAAATAAAACAACAACCACATTAGACGGACATGAACGAATTTATGAACGATATGACTTCGAGCACTTTGGCGAAAGCATAGCCACAGCATACAGTATTTATAAATATTATTTTGGCCTATCAGTAATGAAATCATAATGAATTATCAGGAAACAATGACTAGTTAAGTAGCTTTTCTTCTTTCATCCTCAAGATCTGTTTTTGATCAGTCAGTGTTATTTGCTCTGCCTGTCAGTCAGATATCTATCTAAATCCTAGGCCTGTATTTAAGGAACTTGTTGAGTGCAGGCACAGCACTGAATGATATCCACAGCAGCAACAGGCAATTAATTCCATGAGAGGAAGTTGTTATATGTTGGCTCGTATTAATAATTTCCGTTAACTCAAATCGTAAGGATTTTTTGCATTGTGACCAAGGAACTAATCTTGAATTTTGATATGAAAATCTTAAGTTTAATTAAAATATTTTATTTAAATTTTTGATTGATCTGTTTAATGTAAATTTATCTGTGTAAGTTTTGCTTTACAATTTTGTGATAACAGTTTTCTCTGTTTTTCTTAATTACATTTTTTTCATTCATTCAGTCTGCTGAAATTTCAAAAGCACTGTTGATATATCGATATGAATATATTCAATAGGAAACCACATAATGTGTTTTTATGTGAAGTAAAAAATATATTTTAAAAGCACATACAGAGGTTTCAAAAACAGAATGTGTATGTATCTAGTAAGTACTTTTATTTTCTCAGTGAAGGGCATTATCTGATAAAAGTAGACCAAGGTATTTTGTGTTTAATTATGTTAAATGTTTAGCAAAGTATACAAAATCAGTGGAAAATGGTGCCTGTCACTGCCAGTCAATAAAATTGAGTGCCAGACGAGGTCAACCAACACCGTCCGAATGGAGAGTGAGAGCGTCCATAATGACAAAATTGCCATCGTTTGTATTTCATATTTGGGTTTGTAAATGGAAGATGTTACTGTAATGGATTTTGGTTATCCATCTTTTTTCCTGTCTGTCTCTCCCAAACCTAATCTCTTGGCATCTATCCATTACTGCATTCTGTTTTGTTTTTTGTTGTTTTTTTTTTTTACATAAAAACAAATTTGCATTATAATCTTTATTCCCTTCAGATTTGAATAGAAGAAAGTCGGATGACAATGGCAACAAAATCTACTTGCTACATCATCATTAGCATGACAGGTAAGGTCAATTTTTGTTTCTAAATAAAATGTATTAATTTTTTTTTTTTACTTAACTTGTATTATATCATTCATTTTCTTTCTTGAATTTACAAATAATATCTCTGATTGGTCACTCACATGGTGACATAATATTGAGCATGCGTGCAGTTACAATTTAATCCCACAATGCCACAGTAAAATATAAACATGGGATCATTGGGGCAAAGCTAGGCCTAGTTCTTATTTTTGTACAGTTTTCATTCATTTTATAAGTACCAACAAATCAGCAAACAGTGATTTGACAATATTTTGTAATTTCAAAACCTTTAGCAACACTAACTTCTCGTTGTTAGGCCTAGGTTTTAGCTTAGTGTAGACTGCCTATTGAGTATCACCGATCGGCATGCAAATGTATTACCAAAGTTTTGGAAGTAGGAGGCTGAATCTGAAATGTAGCAGGTGCACCATTTATCATCGAGTGTGGGTGTTTGTAATAAGTGAATTTATTATTAAAAAATTCAAATTGACTGATATCATGACATTACTGAAGTACAGTAAAAAAATTTGTTTCTACAAGATAGGTATTTTTGTAGTAATTTTGTAGACTGGAGTACTGTTTCATATACTGTGGAAAATAATAAATAGAAGTATATAAAGGTACTTGTTGCATCATTTGTGTGGTTACTCCTGGATATAATCAGCTACAACCTTATCATGAGTTTGAATCTGAAAACTAATATAAAAACAAATAAATAAAAGCATCACTTAATACATTTTTGGACTCCTGGTAGACAAGCCTGTAAGATAGGCCAGGAGTTATTATTATTATAATTATTATCATCATCATCATCATCATCATCATCATTATTTTGCTTAAATCTATCATAAGTTATTATTAGGTATAATTTACTTATACTACTACTATTTATTTACTATAATATTCCTTGTAAGTAAACAATGTGTAGGCTTTCCACAATAATTAATTTCTGGAACCGGATGGATCGCATATTCCCAACTCGACTGTACTAGCATATACTTGGTATTTTTACTCTATAGCTAGCCTCTCTTCTAGACACTAGGTCAGATCCTAGCTAGTGCATAGCCCTATTGAAAATAGAGATGAGAGGCCTAATGAATGAGCAAAACCTTGTGTTAATTCACTACCATCGCATGTTCATTAAAATACTTACCCGTTTTGGCCTTTAAGAAAAAAAAAAGACCATCAATTTTCTCTTGCTTTACACCTTCAGTGGCATTTTTCGTGAGCTCCAACTACAACTTTTCATAAACAAACAGTGTAAAACGATCCAATTGGAAACCGTTTAACAGCCTGTGTTAGGTTAGTTTTATTATCATGAGGTCAGTTAAGTGTCAGAGGTGACGATAGTGAGAGTCTGTCAAAACGATGTTGTTTTAGCATGCTCTATAAGTGCTGCGAGATTGGGAATTAAACAGATAAATTTTGATTATTAGTGTTCATTAGTGTCCCATTGGATTTTAAAATAAACAAGCATTAGACAATTGTTATGATTTGAGTGAATGTAAATATAAAGTAAGTTTTGAGTAAATATAAATATATCTAGGCCTAGCCATGTATAGCTGTGTGTACAGTACATGAGGACAACCACACAATCCCTGTATGGGTAGCCTTTTTTTTTCACAGCCTAAAAAGTAGGCGACGCATATGTGCGATATACACGGCAGATTCCATCAAGCGCTGGCAGCTTTTGAAACCCCCGGCCGTTTCTCCTGACGCAAATCCAGTTATTGTCTATTATTCCATCACGACAATAACAACTAATATCAAGTATTAAATTATAATAGTGTATTATCTCAAAATCCAAATTTCTGACAAGCGACTGATTTAGCTTGACCATGCCACATATGTACACCTAAACTAATGAAGGCGTGGAAACAATTCATCAAAACTAATACCTACAAGATGGAGTGTGTATGCGTTACGTTAAAATACGAAAAATGTAACTATCTTGAGGTCGAGTGTTGCGTGCAGCCATAAGAAAAACTTGAGCATGGTTTGAAGATGACACCACATGGATTAATAGTACTGGCCTGTTTAGAACCGTCAATTTTCAATTGTGGTATTATTTTTTTACCGTTACCATTTAATTACCGTTAACTTTCAAAGGGTAGGCAGTGGTTTAGCCTTACCATTTTTTGTTTAACTACCCAGGCGAAATTCAGTTTAAAATTAAAAATTCATAAATTCAATCAATAAATATTGTTAAATATTAATCACTGTTCATTAAAAACAACACGTCACTGAATATTGCAGTCATCACACATGTACAGTACTGTACACACCCTATCCACTAGCCAACCAGGGACCTCCCTGAGTTCACAGTTACCTACTTGCATGCACAGGCGGCGAGAGATTCTGCAGTTGGGTTTGCATTGAATGCGGTGTGGCCTAACAATGCATATCATGGGTTATTCTCCTACAGTACCTTTTCCTCTAAATGTTTAATGATCAAGAGGTTTGTCCTATAGTGTCATCTATTGAAGTACCAATTAGTTATTGTCTGTCTTTTACCAGTGTTACAGGGGTTCTGTCATATGCTGATGAGGAGGTGGCCTCTCTTTTGGGGGAAGAGAAGGGGGACCACGGGGAAGTTTTACAGGCCTTAGTAAACTGCGTTATATCTACTGTTTTGGCGCACCTGAATATCTCCGCACCCGTTGCTGAGCCTCCGGACCATCATTGGTCAACATTCATGAAAACTCGATTGTTGTTGATTAATACATCATGTCCAGTGGTCCCTTTGGACCCAGCTCGCCTGGAGGCCCAGGCAAACGAGGTGAAGCCATGTAAGGCCGCACCCGGGTGTTCGTCTGCAGCCATCGCCAATCAACAGGCAAAAATCACCTCGTTGGGGGCGGTGCGCCGGGTGAACCTCCTTCGTGCTACCGATATTTTGCCTGGCCATTTCCACCGCTTCCTTGAGGTTCCGTCGTTCGAGACGAATGACCTCTTTTTTGGCTCGTTCGTGGCGGGTGGGGATGCCTGGGCACGAGAACGGGAAGCTAGGAGCCAGACTAGGGCTAGGTTTTCTCGCCCTCAACAATAGCAGCGCCTTTAACATTCTCAATTTCCAAGCCAAGCTAGGCCTAGCCAAGCCATAATTAGAGTATTAACTATTAATTATCGATTTAATGTTGGAATATACTGCGGCGGTCGGCGATCGTACAAAACAGTCAAATTTCAAGAAGTTCGATATCTTTGCGTTGTTGCTCAGGCCGTCGTCATTGGAGAGGAAGCCACAACTCTAAACTGGCCGCGAAAGCTTCGATGACGCAAGATCGCCCAAAGTTAGCTGTGCAGCAAGCACATGTTTACAACTATACAAAGGCCGTATTTGATTGGTCGTTCTTCATTAAACCACGCCCACCTCTGCCTACTCAATGAAGAGGACCAATCGAATAGAAAACTTGTAAATACTCGACAAAACAAAATGGCTGTATAGTTACTGCGATACACGTTGCGTAATCAGAGCTGCTTCAACTTGTGGTAGTATGGGTTTTTCGTTAAAAAAAATATTTTCATCCAGTTTTTTTTTTATTCTGTGTGCCTACAATAATTTGTTGTCTCCATGTGGGTAAATATTATAATGCTTATTTTATGAAATTAGCGTTATATTAACGTAAATGTTGTTAATAAAAATTCACCAATCGACCATAGGATATAACAAAACAATAAAGTTCTAACATTGTTTATTTAGTAAATTGCAACATTGCTTACGTGTTGAAAGCTGGTAAACTATATTTCAATATTGTTTACGCATTGATTATCAGTCCGATGATCCAGCCTACGATCATTGCAAAGCTAATTAAAATAACAATGACCTTTGTAGTGGTTCGTAGCTACGTTCCAAACGGTACCTACGAGCAGGCTACGAGTGGTTACGCGCAGATACGAAGCGATATTTCCTGACTGTACTGTACAGTATAGATAAGATTTGTTAGTTTTCCTACTGTAGAAACCTCTGAAATGATGTATGATTAATGTGATTTTAATTTCGTTTATATTTCAGTAAATATGTATTATTAGATGGGTGGAATGGAATAAAATGAGAAGTGTATCACAACCATGTTAAATGTAGTGTCTTGGCCATCTTGAGATTCAAAATGGTGGCTGATAATGTAGATAAAGAAAATGTCACCTAATTGAATTCAGCACACCAAAAATGACAACAATAACAAAAAGTTAGCTATTAATATTAAAATTTATTTTGGCACAAAAATCTAGCTGGAGCCCAATTTCTGAATAGCAAACCATACTATGTCCACCAGTAGGAAATAATTATATTTATTATGACATTATTTTGTTTCTTCAGTTTTTATTAGCACATGCTTAGCTGTGATAGTAACTGTTAATGACATTGGAGATAAGGTTGAAGGCTCTGAAACGAGAATACAGTGTAACATCATTCGAAGTAGTTCAAATAGTACAAATGATCCTATTGTAACTTGGAATAATGTCACAAATGAAGTAACTGATCAAATAGCACAATACCAGAATGGAGGCGGATTAGTACAGCCTTCATACAGCGATAGATTCAGTGTTGATGCAGACACAACACTTGTGATTACTAATACCAGACGAAGCGACAGCGGCACATATCAGTGTAGTGTGTCTATACTTGATGATCCTCCTTCACCTGCATCTGCTGATGTCACACTGATTGTTAAATGTAAGTAAACATTGATTGCTCATTTAATTAAACTCAAATATTTTTAGTAAGAAAATTCCAGTAGATTAAGGCCAAACAAAATAAATAACTCTGGTCAGCGCACGTGTCGATTTAGACCCTGTGTGTCAATTTTTAAAAATTTTTCACAGGATATACATCGCCACCTATCCAAAATTTTGGGGTGCGGCTTATCCATTCTAGGTTAGGCCATTGCTAGCCCAATTAATTAACCTAGGGTAGGACCGGTTTGTAGGCCTAGTATTTGTAATTATACTCACTACAGTGCATGCTGTCCTGGGATTTGTACTACGATTTCTACGACATTCAACCAATGGCTTTGGTTGTCTAAATAATTCATTCATAATTATGTTCATTCATAAACAATTTTGAAGCACGCTGTTGCTGTTCGAAAGCGCTCTCAAAAACTACCAAACTAATTTTCGCGAGTTTGGTCCTGGGGTCATGTGAATAGCTTCATTTCCGAATGTCGCAACAAAACACACGTGGGCTGGTTGAGAGAATGGTCCGCTAAAATTTCAGAATAAAAACTTGTGAAATTAATTTATGCTATAAAAACTCAAGTTTTCTTGAATTTGTAAAATTTGATGTACTTATACACAGGTGATACAAAAAAAATTGTGATATTTCACGTCCTAATTAGGGGGGGAAGGTGCAGCTTATACACTGGAATATACGATAATGCTTTTAAAACTCGTCAATGGATTTTCGCACCATTCAGAATGTTGGTCGCCAAGGTGCTTACAGTACTTCACTGAACGTATTCAGGGCTGTATTCACCGTCTTTTTTTTAATTGTTAAAAGTTTTTTTTTTTTCTTGATTTAACTTATATGTGGTAAAGACAAGCCAAACCAGTCACTCGTCACAAAAATCGATTTTGAGTTATTAATACAATGTTAGAGAGTAAAATAATAGCTATAAAATGGTAAAAAAATCATTCAAATCGGACATTTCCTTATGAAGTTACAAGCGTTTAACCACACAGCTGTTAAGAGAACAATATATGAGAAATTAACCGTCAAAGTTTATGATTTCAGGCATTTCTCATGCAGAAACTATCGTTAAATCCTTAAAAAGTATTGTTTTAACATTGAAAATGGGGAAAATAACAGCATAGAATGATGTGTAAATATATAAATGTTAGTTTAGTGCAATAAAATAGATTTTTAAAAATTTGACATTCCAGCATGTTTTGGCCATTTTCTCTGAAACACGATTTGCGACAAGTGACTGGTTTGGCTTGTCTTTGCCACATATTACTTGCATGAATGATTCTCTTATCTTGGAATAAAGAACAGTAGTCACACATAGGCTACGGTCACACTAGAATCTCAAGCCTGGTTTGACTCACCACGGGTGAGATTTCAAGCTAGGCTCGAAATTCTGGGTCGGTCACACTACCTGAATTTAGTTGGATCATGGTTGGATCGACCTCCAAATTAGGAAAGTCGAAACAGGAAGTTAGAGCGCCGCCACAATCAAAATACCGGCCCCGCGCGCGAATCTAGATGAACTAGGCCTAGGCTCGGATGTAATGGCGATGCTAGTTTTCGGATTGATGAGTGCATTTATTAATGACAACTGATGATTGCTGCGGGTTTTTTATTCAAGAACTTCTAAACGCGACGGCGTCATCGATTGTGATTGGTCGACAGCCGACGAGGAAATGTCAATCCCGGTCACGCCAGTGTCAATCTGGGTACTGAGCCGGGATCGAGATAGGTAGATTGAGATCGAGGTCACGCCAGGCGCGAGTCTATTCAGGTGCGGTCACATTACGAAAATCTCACCCGCGGTGAGTCAAGCCAGGCTTGAGACTCTAGTGTGACCGTACGTAGCCATAGGCTAGTATTCATGTCTTTTTTAAAACAAGATAGGTACGCACATATTTTCATAAGCAATCAAATTTAAGTTGGATTACCCAGATCGATCATTTTGGCTCTCTATAAGCCGCACGAATCCCAGTGTTTCATGAGTTTCACCCTGCACCTCCTCTGAAACCCATCCGTCTCACGGTCCTTTGGTTGGTGCTTTGTGCCAAAGTATGCACACGTTCAACCCACCCTAAAAATTGTAACACCCACCCTCAGTTTTCAATAGCAACATCCTTGAATGTGGAAGGACAACAATGTATAGCATTAGCAGAACATAAAAAAAATACAAAAAATACCTTTCCTGTACTTTCCACGCTTTTCAAACAAAACAAAAAAAATAGAAAAAAAAAAAAAACTGCATCGATTCTTTAACTTTGGTATGACCAGAGACAGAAAATGGTTTTTTTTTTTGCCTAATCTCGCATTTTTATTTTCAATGAAAACACCTCCTGAACAACAACTTAGAAGTGCTAGAGACATCATGCAAAGAAATACAAGGTGTCATGGTTTCAATTGTCTCTCTAATAAATAAAACCTTGTCTCTTTTATGTCAGCTTTAAACATACAGAAATTGTCATAAAAATACATAGACAATTATAAAATTTTCTTTCCTTTTTGTGAATCTAAGTCCAGTACAGTACAGTTTGTTAAGTCTAAACTACTGTGCTATTATTAATGCTCGCTGTGCAAGTTGCTTGTGTCTTTGGGCAAGACACTTTTAAAATCTATGTTTATTTCTCTAAAACAAGAATAATCATGAAAGATGTCTCAATAATATTTGTAGATACATTTTTTTTCTCTCTTGTGGCGAACTACCACAAATTTACAATATATTTTTAGATTCATCTTAAAAATGTCATATAAATGTAGTAATATTTTAGTATATAACAATTTTTACATTATAATTTTTTTAATTTATTTTAGATTTATACAAGCCTGTATTGAGTTCCTTCACTACACCTGTGACTGAGGGTGACACAGTTGAGATGTTATGTTCTGCAGATGCTAATCCATCACCTACTTACACATTTTTAAAGGATGGTGGTGAAGTACAACCACCAGGGGCTTCATCTACATTCAGGATTCAATCAGTGAGTCGTGACAAAGATGGCAGTTATGAGTGTAGGGCCAGTAACAGTGCGGGCACTGAAACAAGTGAAAGTAGAATGCTGGATGTACAATGTAAGTACCGTATTGTCTCTAATAAACGCCCCTCTTCTAATAAATGCCCCCTCTGAGGTTTTTTTTTTTTCATTTTGCAATGAGTGCCCAATCAATTAACATGGGTATCCAATCCATAAAAAGGTTGACAAACAAGGAGTAATACCCTACTGTGTTCTGCTTTCTTTGATATGAATTGAAATAAATACTTCTCAAAAAAGCTTACCCTAAACGTTTGATGTTTACTGTCTTCACGATCACTAGGCCTAGGCCTATTTTGTGTTTCTCTCATGGTATTTCGTTAGCCTTGTAAAAACAGGGTAAGCTGCAAACTGACGGCAAACGATGGGTAATCGTGTATTGTTAATGTGTCGCATGTTCGACGCTGATTTGATTCAAGTTGTCTTGTCAATGAAGTCTATACCGTAGTGAGAATGTTTCTTCAAGTTGAGGGCAGATGTTTTGCGTGCAGTGCTAGGTCTAGTTCATGAGGCCGACAATGTTTTTGACAAGCACGCGATTGCTGTTGTGAAAGGAGAAGCACCACGCTGCATCGTCGGACATTTAGCCCAAGAGAACTCGAAGATATTTTATTTCTTTTTGAAACACAAGGAATTATTGATGTTCAAATAACCAGCAACAAACGAAGGAACAGCAAAATAGCAGGATGCCTGGAGATACCCTGCACATTAACTTGTTCCTCTACAAATGAAGAACTTATTGACCGTTTAAAGCAGCTTGTTTAGGTAATTTTTGATTTTACAATTCACCTCTAGTAAACGCCCCCCTTTGAAAACCCCTTTTGAAAAAATGCAACACCCCTGGGGCGTTTATTAGAGAAAATATGGTATTCTAATTTAAGATACAAAATCATTTATTGATAATATTAATAACAAGTACTTGTAACAAAATATTGTATATAGTACTAAAGATAGTAACTTTATTAATATAATAATATACACATTATTAGTTCCTATGCATGTAGTGCAATAGGAACTATTGTAATCACTCTGTCACATTTCTTTTGTTTTTTATTGTGTGTGCGTATGTGTGTAGACATTTATGCAAATGTGCATGCGTCAAAGAAAAGTTTTCCGACATTTTGTTTAACATGGCAATGCGAAGTTCAATGTGGATTTTCTGCAGAGTTCAGTCAGGGCTCACGCTATAAACTGATCGGCAAGTCGGCATGCATGAAACTATTTTGGTTTTACGGCAAAAAAATCAACTGATGTGGCATAGGTATTTTGAAGAAGGCCTAAAATAAAACAAAAAGGTTTTAATACTTGCTGAAATACATCGTTTTTTCATTTAGATCTCTATTTTTCACTAACTCCATGCAACGTTTATTTCTGTTGTATGAGTAGTCCATAGAGCTATTAAACAACTAGAGTGTTGACAAGATGGCGCAGCAATGCAGAGTTATGTATGTGTACCATCCAAGATGGCCGTCGTAGTAAAGCGCCACCTTCAGGCTTAGTATACATATTTATTACATATTAATAAGCCCTCTGACTGACTATTATTTCATTAATGATAATGAGTAATGGTAATAACAAATTATTAAACTATTGTAGCCAAAACGAGGCCAAGTGGAGCATCTTATTAAAAAATAATGTACCAAGGAATGAAAATTAAAATCGTGTACATTACACCCAAACACCACAACGCTCGAGTTTCAAACATACGGGTAGCTAGCTGTACTGAACCCTCTGAGTAAATTGAGGGCGCAATTGCAAACGATGGTGCTTAGCAAAATCGAATACATTGTGGTTAGCGCTCTAGTATTCTTATTATTATCTCTATGTAGTAGTCGTATGAAGGTACCATATCCCCGACAGTTGGCTATGCAGCAATGTACCCTTTGAATACAAATTGAAGACAAGTGAAGATATAAAGGCAGTCGACTGTCGGGTATATAACGACTATCTAACTTTCCACAAAAAAACATTAGGCCTAAGCTAGGCCTAGTTCGTCAGTACAGTAGTTACTGCGATGCGAGGGTGGTAGATCGTTCAGTCAGTGTTATCGTCTAATAGTAATACATTTTAATAATGTGTGTACAATTTAAGAATGTACCGGGTGGGTTGCTTTCTTTGTTATGCGGTAGTAGTATACGTAGCAGAGCAATCTAAGCCTTGCCTAGGGCCTAGATGGTACGTTCTTGATCATCGACAATCATAATGAAAACTTCGGGTGACAGACGATTGGGCCCAACTGGTGTGGACGATCGGACCAAAGATAGCTTCAAATAAATTGTAGTCCAAGTAGGCCAGTGCCAACACCCCCACTCCTGATATCATTCCAAACTACTGTAAAATGAAATTAATGTATACCTAGCTAGGCCTAGGCCCTATGCCTAAGA